AATTCCTTTATGCTTGTGAAAATTGGATAAAATTAGATAAGACAAAAATTATAAGATCAAAACTCATTATAAAATCATTTTTTTGTAAGATTGTTTAATGGCAAGTGTTTCTAATTTTTTCAATTGGGGCTATAGTAGGGTTTTCAATTGGGGCTACAGTAGGGATGTCAGAGAAAAGATTGGAGTGAGAAAGAGGAAAGAGAAAGGGTTGAGAGGAATGAGAGAGGTGAGTAAGGGTTTGGGGTTTCTTTTTTTTTTTTAGTTTTGAGAATGAAAATTATTTATTAAAATACCCTTAACCTTAGAACTTAGAATCCATGGTATATAAGGATATTTTTGTCTACTAAAACCCGGTACACATTGCTAAAATGTAGCAACTGAAAAACAGGCGTACGCGCGTTAGCAAACCCCATATATATAAATGCAAATGTTATTGACATTCATCTTATATATCTATCCTATTATAATCTGATTTTCAACATGTATAAAAAAATTACCAATAATTAAATCAAAATTATATTACAATGGAAATTATTTATTATATTTATTATTTATTTTCTTTGGTCAACTAAGGAGGAGTAATTGTTTAAGATGGAGGAGATGAAGATTAACCAAGTCTGTGTTGGTTTCATACTAAAGTTTTTCGAAATTGGAATAATTTTTTTGCATTTAATAAAAAATTATACTTCAAACAAATTTGAACAATAATTAATTTTATTAAATCCTGTACCAAGATGCATTGGAACACAAAAATGAAGACACAGTTAGACACGTGGGAAGGTAGGTGCGCACGTGCTACCATCCATGACATATGCCTTCCAAATGAGGGTGATGTTTCAAATATGAAATAGGGTTCTTTGGTTATAATATTCTCATTTCTACCATTCATTCCATAAATACAATTCATAATTCAAAATTAATTGAGTGGGTTTTGTTATTTTAGGTTGGAGTGACAGGATAAACAAGATTGTTCGATTTTGCATACCCTCAAACTTCCCTTGAATATCAACAATTTAATCAAACTCTCTTTCTTTTTCTTTCATCAAAAATATATATAAAACCAAAAACCCACCTTGATGCTGGCCTGTTCCTAGATTTCAAAGACAGACGAACATGTCCGAGAATATTCAGTCCAACTCCCCTTCGCTTTCCCTTCTCTCTTTTTTCTTTCTCTGAAAGGTAAACCCCACTTCTCCATTTCAACTCTTCTCACCTTAATTTTGTTTAAGTTCTGTTTTTTTGTATTATTTAATTAATCCCTGTAGATCTAGTTAGAAATCCCCAATTTTATTTTTTTATATTTTATTTTGATGTGTATTAATCAATAATCAAGGGAGATGTATCTGTTTATTCTTGCACGGTCAGTATGCATTTAGGTTCTGAATTCGAAATCTGCAATGAGATGTGTTTCTCCAATTCAGGAGGGTCATGCCCTGTGTCACATTGTTGCTTCAATTTTGCCTTGATTTATTTCATGTTAAGCTAAAAATCCCTTGTTTCACCGTCTCTCAATTTTGTGCTCTGCTGTTGAAACTGTGATCTTCGATTATCAGGTTTTGGAAGTTATCTTAGCTAATATATGCTTTTATTATATTGAATCAGATTCTCGCTTGGTTTTGTAACCAAAGTTGATTGGAGATTAAATTCGTTGATTTCTCTCTGATGTAGAGTATTTGAAATTGGAATGGGGTTGATTCTGTTTTATTGTGTCTTTGCGTATAATCATTCTTTAATTGCAAGTTTTTTTGTACTGCTGGCACCTGTTATTGTTAAAAAAGATCTTTAGAGGGTAGAAATATTTCCCTTCCGCACACTGCATACAAATTCTAGGTGGAGGATAGAAGGCTTGGTCAAGTTTGCTCTGGTATTAAATTTAAATTGAATTGCTAAATCCCCTAGTAAAGAGGTAACAAAGAAATGGTTGATGTTTTTATTATAGATTTCTATGGGGTGCAAACATTTTAGGGATACATACTGTTTTCTAATACTATGCATGTATCCTGTTCTCATTGATGTCAATTTATTTTTCCATGGAATATCACATTTACTTGCTGTTGTTGATTGGGAGACTATTAAATCTGTGAATATTAAATCAATATGATGACAAAGGTAGCTTGCTTGCATCAATTTTTGCTGTCACGATCTAAGTTGACAATGCTATTAATGTGGCCATTGCGAAAAAACGTGAGCTTCTACTTATGTTAATTGTAGAAGCATCTA